TGCCTCCTGGGTTCAAGCAATTCTCTTGCCCCAGCCCCACCAGTAGCTGAGATTACAGGCCCGCACCACCATGCCTGGTGGTTTTTTGTATTGTTAGTACAGACATGGTTTCACCATGTTGGTCAGGCTGGTCTCAAACTCCTGACCTCAGGTGATCTGCCCCCCTTGGCCTCCCAAAGTGCTGGGATTACAGGCGTGAGCCACCGCACCTGGTCAGCTAATTATGTTTTTTAAGACAGAGTCTTGGCTGTGCATAGTGGCTCACGCCTGTAATCCCAGCATCTGGGAGGCTGAGGCAGGTGGATCACTTGAGGCCAAGAGTTTGAGACCAACCTAGGCAACATGGTAAAACCCCATCTCTACTAAAAATACAAAAATTAGCCAGGTGTGGTGGTGCACTCAGGTACGTGGGAGGCTGAGACATGAAAATTGCTTGAACCCAGGTGACAGAGGTTGCAGTGAGCAAAGATTGCACCATTGCACTCCAGTCTGGGTGACAGAGGGAGACTATGTCTAAAAAAAAAAAAAAAAAAAGATGGAGTCTCAATTGTTGCCCAGGCTGGTCTCAAACTCCTGTTTGAGACCTTGGCCTCTTGAGTAGCTGGGATTACAGGTGTCAGCCACTGCACCAGGCAAAGAGGGCCTCTTATTTTTTTGAGAAAGGGTCCTGCTCTGTCACCCAGGCTGGGGTGCAATGGCAGGATCTCAGCTCACTGCAACCTCTGCCTCCTAGGCCCAAGCAATTCTCCCACCTCAGCCTCCTGAGTAGCCGGGAGTATAGGTGTGCGCCACCATGCCTGGCTAATTTTTGTATTTTTTGTAGAGATGGGGTCTTGCCATGTTGGTCAGGCTGGCCCCAAACTCCTCAGCTCAAATGATCCACTAACAGGGCCTCTTTTATAAGGGCACTAATCTCAATTGTGAGGGCTCCCTCCTCATGACCTAATCACCTCCTAAGGGCCCCACCTAATACCATCACCTTTCATGCTAAGATTTCAACATATGCACTTTGTGGTGGGAAACAAACATTTAGATGACGGCAAAACAGCTTTAACTTTTTTCTTTTCTTTTTTTCTAGCTTTTTTTTGAGACAGTCTCACTCTGTTGGCCAGGCTGAAGTACAGTGGCGTGATCACAGCTCACTGCTGCCCTCACCTCCCAAGCTCAAGCCATCCTCCCTCCTCAGCCTTCCAATTAGCTGAGACTACAGGTACGTGCCACTGTGCCCAGCCTCATTCTATTTAAATTTTATTTTTAGGCCAGGCCTGGTGGCTCATGCCTGTAATCCCAGCACTTTGGGAGGCCAAGGTGTGTGTGGATCGCTTGAGACTGGGAATTTGAGACCAGCCTGGCCATCATGGCACAACCCTGCTGCTACTAAAAATACCAAAATTAGTCAGGCATGGTTGTGCATGCCTGTAATCCTAGCTACTTGGGAGGCTGAGGCATGAGAATCGCTTGAACCTGGGAGGTGGAGGTTGCTATAAGCCAAGATTGTGCCATTGCACTCCAGCCTAGGTGACAGAGTAAGACTCTACCTCAAAAATAAATAAATTTTTATTTTTAATTGTCATTAGTAAATAGAGTTATCGTTAATTTAAAAATATTGGTCTGATAGCCAAAGACTTTGCTAAACAATGTATCAGTATTTCAAAGAAACATGACACTAGATAAGAATGATAGTGTAAAGGAGTCATTGTGGAAAGCTAAAAATTTACACTTGTTTTTATCATTAAATGCTTGGCTTCTTTGATAATTTTTACTTAATACTTCTCCCTATATGAAAGATAGGTTTTTTGTTTATTGTTTTGTTTTTTTTTTGAGACACAGTCTTGCTCTGTCATCCAGACTGGAGCGCAGTGGCACAATCACGGCTTACTGCAGCCTCTACTTCCCTGAGCGCCTCAGCCTCCTAAGTACCTAGGATTATAAGCACACCACCATGCCCAACTAATTTTGTATTTTTTGTTGAGATGGAGTCCCATTCTGTTGCTCAGACTGCTCTTGAACTGTGCTCAAGTGATCCGCCCACCACGGCCTCCTAAATAGAGTGCTGGGATTATAGGTGTAAGCCACCATGCTTAGTGAAAGATAGCTTTTATCTTTTTTTTTTTTTTTTTGAGACGGAGTTTCACTCTTGTTACCCAGGCTGGAATGCAATGGCGCGATCTCGGCTCACCGCAACCTCTGCCTCCTGGGTTCAGGCAATTCTCCTGCCTCAGCCTCCTGAGTAGCTGGGATTACAGGCACGCACCACCATGCCCAGCTAATTTTTTGTATTTTTAGTAGAGACAGGGTTTCACCGTGTTGACCAGGATGGTCTCGATCTCTTGACCTCATGATCCACCCGCCTCGGCCTCCCAGAGTGCTGGGATTACAGGCTTGAGCCACTGCGCCCGGCCAGAAAGATAGCTTTTATTCATCTCTTTTGACTCCAGAAAATGCTGCAAGCTGGATACACCACATCCACACAAATCTCCCAAGGACTTTGGAGAAGATGCCTTTGGATGGATTTGCAACTCTTGACCTTAAACAATTTGGGACGGCATCTGGGATGCACTCTGCGTGGCCCTCACACCATGCTGAGAAGCACCTGCTGTCCTCTGGCGGGGACACTGGAAGGCAAGGGTGCCCACACCTCATAGGTGAGACACCATCCTTTGAAGAGGAGCTGGATTCAGACTTAAATTTAGAGGGCTCTAAGGAGGTGTGCCAGACTAAAAGGCAGAGATCAATGCCTGCCTGAAGACAATGCAATCTCAAAAGAAAAAGACAAAAAAAAGACAAAAAAATGCAGTTTGGCTGGGCATGGTGGCTCACGCCTGTAATCCCAGCGCTCTGAGAGGCCAAGGCAGGTGGGTCACTTGAGGTCAGGAGCGCAAGACCAGCCTGGCCAACATGGTGAAACCCCATCTCTACTAAAAATACAAAAATTAGCCAGGCATCTTGGTGGACACCTGTAATCCCAGCTACTTGAACCCGGGACGCAGAGACTGCAGTGAGCCTGGGCCAAGGTCGCACCACTGCACTTCAGCCTGGGAGACAGAGCAAGGCACTGTCTCCAAAAAACCAAACCAAACCAAACAAAAAACAAACAAACAAAAAACCAGGGAGAGAAAACAAAGGACCAAAATGAAGTAGCTCTTGTCTGGAGACGGTTACCTTTTTCTTTTCTTTTCTTTTTTTTTTTTTTTTGAGACGGAGTTTCGCTCTTGTTACCCAGGCTGGAGTGCAATGGCGCGATCTTGGCTCACCGCAACCTCCGCCTCCTGGGTTCAGGCAATTCTCCTGCCTCAGCCTCCTTAGTCGCTGGGATTACAGGCACGCGCCACCATGCCCAGCTAATTTTTGTATTTTTAGTAGAGACGGGGTTTCACCATGTTGACCAGGATGGTCTTGATCTCTTGACCTCGTGATCCACCCGCCTCGGCCTCCCAAAGTGCTGGGATTACAGGCATGAGCCACCGTGCCCGGCCTCTTTTCTTTTTTAAAGATGGGTTTCACCATGATGGGCAGGCTGGTCTTGAAATCCTGACCTCAGGTGATCCACCCACCTTGGCCTCCCAAAGTGCTAGGATTACAGGCATGAGCCACCGCGCCCAGCCCGAGACGGTTACCTAAAAAGCAGAAGGTGTGGCTATATTCAGACGTGCTTACCAGTCAAGGGGCCACCAGGTGCAGGCCCCTCACCCCATCCTGCCAAGGAGGCCAGGCTGGCAGACCTGGGGGGTGATGGCATTGGCAGATGTTAAAGAGGTTATCATGCCTGTTTTTGTTTGTTTCTGAAACGGGGTCTTACTTACTGTCATCGAGGCTGGAATGCCATGGCACAATGACAGCTCACTGCAGCCTCGGCCTCCTGGGCTCAAGCAGTCCTCCCACCTCAGCCTCCCGAGTAGGTGGGACTACAGGTGTGTACCACCATGGTTGGCTAATTTTTTATTTTTATTTTATAGAGATGGGGTCTCCCTATGTTGTCCAGGCTGGTCTGGAACTCCCGGGCTCAAGCAATCTTCTCACCTTGGCCTCCCAAAGCACTGACACTTCTGCCACAAACCACTGCGTATGGCCTGCTTAGTTTTTTTTTTTTTTTTTTTTTTTTCTTATTTCCAAGCAGCTTAGTTTTTAATTAAAACAAACCACCAGCCTGGGCAGTGACTCACACCCGTAGTCCCAGCACTTTGTGGGGCTGAGGCCAGTGGACTCCTTGAGCCCGGGAATTTGAAACCAGCCTGGGCAATATGGTGAAACACCATCTCTGCAAAAATTACAAAAATTAGCTGGGCCTGGTGGCATACTCCTGCAGTCCTAGGGAGGCTGAGCGAAGAGGATCACTTGAGCCCAGGAGGTCGAGGAGGCTGCAGTGAGCTGAGTGCACCACTGCACTCCAGCATGGGTGACAGGGTGAGACCCTGCATAGAGAAAACAAAAACAAAAAAATAAGGTCAGGTGTGGCGGCTCATGCCTGCAGTCCCAGAGCTTTGCGGGGCTCGAGGTGGGAGAATCACTTGGGCCGAGCAGTTCAATACCAACCTAAGCAACACAGTGAGATCTGTCTCTACAAACGCTTTTAAAAACTAGCCAGGCATGGTGGCATGTGCCTGTGGTCCCAACTACTCAGGAGGCTGAGGTGGGAGGATCACCCGAGCCTGGGAAGTCAAGGCTGCAGTGGGCTGTGTTCTTGCCACTACAGTTTCGCTTCGGTGATCCTGTCTCAAAGTATGTATTACTCAAAGAATCACAGACTATTGGAGCTGGAAGGGCTCATAGCACGCCTTTACCTCTGCTTCCTACATGACGCTCCGTGGAACCTTGAGGTACCTCGTGAGCAAAGGGTTCTGTGGCCAAATGGCTTATAGACAGGCTGCATACTGTCCCATCCTCCCCTTCTTCCTCTTTATACAAGCATGATTCTTCACACCTCGCTAAAGGCTCTGAGAAGGCCTGCAGGCAATAAACTTATTTGTTGTTGTTTGATCCAGTGCTTCCCAATTTACTTGACTTCACAAAGCTTCTTTAATCATGTGCAGAACATGTTTTAGGAACCAATGATTTATTCCAGTGCGAGCATTTTAGTCTTGAAGAAACAAATGCCCCCAAAACCAAGGGCTTTCTCGGCCCTGTGGCCTCAGGAGCTTGCTCTGTGCTTCCCCTCCCTCCTCCTTTCTCACTCCCTGAGTTGGCGCTCTAGACGGGGTGCACCCAGTGTGCAGAGCTGCAGGCCAGGCTGCCTCAGACGTCCCTGGCTGTGATTAGAGCCCACGGTCTTATCAAAGCATCAGGATCCTAAAACACGGGAGGAAGGAGTGGTGTCAGGGAGGAAACACTGGGCCCAGAATACCCAGAGCTGGTGCAGTCGCCATCCTGGCCTGAGACGTGAGTCTTGGGGAGAGAGCAGCAAGGGCTGGAGCGATGTCCCAGCAAGCACCCAGGCGCAGTCGGATGAATGAAGCAGGTTCACTGATGGCAGGAGAGGCAGCAGGCAGAGGGGACTGCAGGGCTCAGCTCCCCTGTGGGTGGTGGATCTGTTAGCCATGCTGCATGAGGAACGCCGGCAAGAAACGCAGCTTGGGAGGAGGGTGCAGATGGGCTGCAGGAAGGGGGAATTCCTGAACACAGGTGTGGAGGGTGGAAACCAGGAGAGGATGGGCTTATCTAGGAAGAGAGCAGAAGGGAACCCCGTGGCCCCAAGGGCGAACCCAGTGACTGGCTGGGCCTTGGGGATGGGGCAGGGGCAGGCAGCAATGGCACCCCTCCACCAGCAGAGGGCCACGGTGTCAGCCATCCAAAGAGAAGTGACACAGTGAAACCCTCCAAGACATTATCTTGCCTTCTGGAACTAAATCCTTGCAACAAAGTTCCCCAAAGCAGTGCTCAGAGGAGCAGCAGGCAGGCCAGTGATGCCAGAGGCTTCTGGGCCTCTGCTGAGGCATGCAGTAGCTGACAGAGGGCAGATGGGCCTCAGGGATTTCCAGCGGAAACAAGTTTTGTGGATATGTGAGGGAGACAGAGGCAGAGAGAGAGGGTGGGCACCTGCGAACTGGGGAGAGTGATGAGGGGGCACAGTTCATAAACAGGAAAGTGGTAACATTCATGGCTAACCACTCCTGTGAAATACTATAGCAAAGGTACAGAAACGTAGATCAAATGTAGAAGTGCAGTTTAAGGGCTGACTGCTGAATGAAGGGCAGCAGGGCGGGAAGGAACAGGCCTGGCACCCCCAGTCTCCCAGGGGCCCTGGTGAGGTCACAGCCCACCCCTGCCCCAGTGGTAACCACCATCTGACACTTAAGAGTAACCACCTTCTTGCTCTTCTGTGGATTATTTACTACTTAATGATGCATCCCTAAACAATGCAGTTTAACTTGGCCCGTTTTGGGATTTCTGTGAACAGCTAGACCCGGTCCTGTGACTATGGCCACACACCGTTTCTCCATCCTGCTCTCCGCGGCTATTCAGAGCTGTGCGGTCCTGGCTGCGATGCACAACGCCATGCCCGCTCCCACCCGGGTTTCCTGGTGCTCATAAATACACATTGCAGGAGCACGTTTTCCATCAGCAACTTGGCGAAGACTGACGTCCTGTGGAGTTTTCGGAGGAAGCGCTGTCCTCCAAGACTGCAGAAAGCTAGTGACCACCCACCCTACTGGCCGCGGATAGTGACCACCCACCCTACTGGCCGCGGATAGTGACCACCCTACTGGCTGTAGAGCTCCTGGCAGTCAGGACTCCCGTGGATTCTTCACCCGGATCCGGAACAGGGCCTTGCACCCCACAAGCAGACAGCTCACACTCCCAGGGTGAAGGAATGCGCCGGGAAATCTGGGAAAAGGAGCGTGTCCCTTAAGATTGTGGCTCACCCTCCGCCTTCTAACCCTCCACCGCTTAGGGGAGAAAGGAGGTAACCACAGGAGGGCTTTTCCAGTAAAGCCTTCAAAAGACAGACGGGTGGGGGGGATGCGTGGGGGGGTATACAGAAATGCACGGAGGCGCACGACGGTTCCAGGAGGCCCCTGGGGAGCGCTTGGGGAGGCTCCTGACCGCTGGGATGGGAGTGACCGCCGATCTGATCTCTGATTCCAGCTACAATTTACTAAAAACTTGTTAGACTTTCTAGGTGCTTTGAACGGAATCTCCGGGTTCTAGGGCCGCGCCGGGAGGTGGCGGTGTGGTCCTGCGCGAGCGTTCAAGTTCAAGCTCCGGGCTGGGAGGGGGCCTCCCGACCTTCGCGTTTCTGTAGTAACTTAAAGAGCCAGGCTGGGGGCCGGGGGGGCGGAGGGGCCGAGGGAGGGAGGGTCCTGTCCCCCCGGGGCGGCGGGGAAGGCGAGGTGCGTGGGCTACCCCCGGCTCCGGCGGCCCAGCCACGGGGCCCGGCTCCTCCCCCGCGTCGGCAAGAAGCTGCTTTTCTGGGGGGCCGGGAAGGGTCCCCGGGTCCGCGCCCGCCCCCACGCCACACCGGCCGTGTTCCCGCCCGCGGCTCCCACCGCTTGGCGACGTCCCCAGGCCCCTCCCCGGGTCCCCGCCCCAGGCCCCGCCAGACCCGTTGCCGCCGCCGCCGCCGCCGCCGCCGCCGCGGACCCCGCCCGCGCGCCCGGCCACGCTCCCCTCCCCCTCCCCCGGCGAGCGCGCGCCCGGCCCCGCTCCCCTCCCCCTCCCCCCGCAAGCGCGCGCCCGCCGCCGGCCTCGCTTCCCTCCCCCTCCCCCTCCCTCCTCCCTCCTCCCCTGCCCCTCCCGCTCCCGCTCCCGCTCCCGCCGCCGCCTCCGCCCGCCGCCCCGGCCGCGTCGGGTAAACCTGTTTAGCTAGGCGGCCGCGCCGGGGCGGATCGTGCGGCCGGCGGCTCCCTCGCGGCTCGCGGCGTCGGGGCCCGTGGCGCGCGCGCGGCCGCCCCTCGGCCCGGGAGTCCCTCGGCGGCGCCACCATGTACTCGGGAGCCGGCCCCGGTGAGTCCTCGCGCTGGGGGCGCCCGCCCGGCCGTTCGCGCGCTCCTCCCCGCGGCGCCGGCGATTGGCGGGCCCGGCGCGGGCCGCGGGGGCCGGGGATCGGGGGCCGCGGGGTCGGGGCGGCGGGGCCGGGGCGGGCGGGCCGGCCGCGGTCCGGGCTCGGGGGGGCGGCGGTGGCGGGGCCGGGCCGGCCGTTTTCTGGGCCCCGCGGAGGACGCGCAGCCCCGGCCTCCTCGGTCCCAGCGAGTCGTCGGGGCGCCCCGCGCGGCCTGGGCACCCCCCCGCGCCTGGGGCCCGCTTCCCCGCGTCCTCGCATCCCCGCCCGGAGCCCGGCGGGCTGGGGCTGGGGCCGGGGCCGAGGCGGCCGCCGCGTGTAGGCCCGAGGCCCGGAGCGCCCCGCTTGGCCCAGCCTCGCTGGCCCGGGCGGGGATGGGGGCGCCGCAGCTCGGCCCGGCCGGGTTCTAAGCGCCCGGGCGGGTGGAGGCCGGGTCGGAGCGCGCACGGCCGGGAGGGGAGGGGGCTGCGCGGGTCCCGACCCCGGCCGCGGCGAGTGTGGGGCGTGCTCAGTCTCAGTGGCGGTCCTTCTTGTTGCCAGCACTTTTTCGGCCCCCTTTCCCAAGGAAAGTCTGGAAATGCTGAATTTTGGCCAATTCCTGTAGTTAGGACTGTCGCCTGGAAGGGGGAGGACGCGGCTCCCCGGAACCCTCAAAGTGCGTGCGCGGCGCCTTCTCATTCCAGACCCGCTGGCCTCCCCATTCAAGTGCTGATTCCTTTTACAGTTTCCTGGGAGAGGTGCAGCGAGGTGGATGCCGGTAGCACCCCTTTTCCTAGCCGGCCTTTCTCTGGAAAAGTTCTAAAAAACTTAAAGCAGCCACACATTGTTTTTCTTTTTAAATGCAGAGTAGAAGGCGGTTTCCGTGCTGGGCCAAGAAAACGGTCAAGCGTTCTCCTGCTTTTGGCGTGCTCCCACCAGGCACGTGGCCCCAGGCTCTCCCAGCCCGCCTGGCCGCTGGGACGGGGCACCGCCTGCTCCCCTTTGTCCGCCGGGCCCCAGCCGGGCCGCAGGAGGCGCAGGCCCCGCCGGACTCCGCGCTTGTTTACCCGGCCGGGCAAGGAGGCTCGCATTCCCGATGCTGCCCTCGCTGCTCCACACCGGCCCCAAATTGTGGGGTCCGGAAGGCCCCCTGGTCCACTTGGGTCCGTTGATGGTGGCCCCCACTGGGGCTGTTGGCTCTGTGCCTTGCGAATGCCGCGTCTTTTTTCTGATGTCACTTAGAAAGCTTCTCTAAGGTGGAGTCTGACCAACTTTTCAACTTATAAGGGCTATCAACAGTTTGATTGAAGACTGGTTTTCCCCCTTCACCTGCGTGGGGCCACAGTCCTGGGGCCGATGCTGGCCTCTGGAGGCCCTGGGTGGCCAGGCCCCCTGGTGGGAAGGGACCGGGCATCCCCTCGTGTGGAGCTGGGACCTTCCAGCGCCTTCTTGTAGAGGAACCCAGCAAACGTGGGCCTGACAACACTACGTTTTTTCAGGTTATCAGTTTTAAAAGTTGGAGGCCCAGAACAAGTGAAGACACTTGAGGAAGGTAGAGGTCAAGGCTTCCGTGTTGTGTTTTGCGTGTTACTTCACTCCGCTTGCTGAAGCTGGTGGTGGTTGTAAAGACAGACGGCAGAGGCTCACAGAGGTTGAGAACTTCACCAAGGTCACCCAGCAGCCAGTGAGCGTCGGACCACTGACCCGACTTCCCAGCCGGTTCTCTGGGTGCTCTTCTCAGGGCGGTGCCTTTCAGGGCCTATGACCTTGACCCACAGTAAGAAGTCCCTCTTGGGGCCGGACTGGACCAGCACCTCCCCGCGTAGCTGTCGTTGACAGCGGGGCTTCGGGGAGCAACCCCCGCTCCCCGCTGTACTGTATGCGCTGCCCTGGGATGCTGTCTTGTCGATTTCATTTGTCAGTGTACCTTGGCCTTCAGTATCCGCAGGCTCGTTTCTGTCACTAGTTGGAGATTGTTGCTGTGACACGGGCCTGGTAGGGAGCAGACAGTCTGGAACAAGACAGTGGCTGAGAGAATGGATGTGTCTGCAGGGTAATTCATAGCTAACGGCAGGATGGAATGAACCAAGTTTCAGGTTGTACCAACGTGCTGCAGTTATAAGTTTCAGGTTGTACAAACGTGCTGTAATTATAAGGCTGCAGTGCAGTTGTTTTATTCTACACACCAAGGCTTTTAATTTGGTTTAAAAGGAATTTTTGTACTAGCCTCTTTCTTGAGACTTTTTAATCTTACGTTTTCTAATTTAGAATTATAAGACATTCAGTTTGAAAAATTACAAATAGTTTTGCTACTTCCAATTGTAACACCCTTACTAGGCAACTTAGTAATTTAAAAAACAGTTCACAATAGCCCTACAATCTGCCAGTCACAAACAAATACTCTTACGTATGTGAATGCACATTTAGAATCTGAAGTTAGGATGAAGTTAGGAATGCGACTTTTTTTTCGTTGTTTTGAACTGAGTTCTTGTTTAGGATGGGTGGATTCTCCAGTGACCTTGAACCTTCATAGATGAACAAACCAGGTTTTTGTGTTTTTAACCATTTGAAGGTCTTGACCTCTGTCTAGATCGCCTGCTCTGGGGGATTGTTTGTTTTGGTTTTGCTTTCAAGCTCCTGTGTTACACCCCTCAGAATTGCCACAAAGTAACCTCTGTGACATCTAAGGCTTGACCGTTGTCTAAATAGGATTGTGACTTTGAGAAGAACCGACCTTCACTGTGGTTTAAAGCGCCATGTAATTCCTCCTGCCTCCTCTCCCCTGACCCCCAGTGGTCCCCATGAAGGTATGGCCAGTTCTCCCAATACTGGTGCCCTTTCGCCCTGGCAGGCTATCACCTTCTACTCTTGGGGCCGCTGACGGGGCCCACTTGTGCAGTCGCCCTTGGGTCTTTGATAAACCTTGGGGAGGAATTTCAGTAAGTGCATAGGAGGAAAAGACGTAAAAGCTTCCAAACTTCTCAAACCTGTGCAATTTTAAGAAGCAGAATCAGGTTTTAACTTATAGTTTCCACGTCAAAAGTGTTCACAGTGCCAGGTGGGCTTATTCTCTCTGACGTGTGCAGGGAATGCGCTCCTGTAATGGTCCAGTCTGATAAAATGTGGTTTTGTTTCATGAATCATTATTGTGAATCCTTAAAACGTAACATTTGAGTTTTAAAAATGGTTACTGTTGTGGCCCGGCACAGTGGCTCATGCCTGTAATCCCAGCACTTTGGAAGGTCAAGGTGGGTGGATCATGAGATCAGGAGATTGATACCGTCCTCATCTCTGTTTAAAAAAAGAAAAACATGGCCGGGTGTGGTGTCTCACGCCTATAATCCCAGCAGTTTGGGAGGCTGAGGCAGGTAGATCACAAGGTCAAGAGATCGAGACCATGCTGGTCAACATGGTGAAACCCCGTCTCTACTAAAAATACAAAAATTAGTTAGGAGTGGTGGAGTGCGCCTGTAGTCCCAGCTACTCAGGAGGCTGAGGCGGGAGAATTGCTTGAACCCAGGAGGCAGAGGTTGCGGTGAGCCGAGATCGTGCCATTGCACTACAGCCTGGGTAACAAGTGAAACTCCATCTCAAAGGAAAAGAAAAGAAAAATACAAAAAATTAAATGGGCATGGTGGTGGGCGCCTGTAGTCCCAGCTACTCAAGAGGCTGAGGCAGGAGAATCACTTGAACCTGGGAGGTGGAGGTTGCAGTGAGCCAAGATCGTGCCACTGCACTCCAGCCTGGGCGACAGAGGGAGACTGTCTAAAAAAAAAAAAAAAGTTACTGAAAAGACACAAAAGTAGAGTGATTTAATATCCCTCCCATTTATCCATTACCAAGCTTCAACAATTATCAAGCTTCTCCACATTTGCTTCAAATAATGCTCCTTTTCTTTGTGGACATTTTCCTAAGTGAATTGCAGACCTGTCATTTAACCTCGATATTTAAGTACTATACTCGTATCTAAGAAGCGTGGAGACGTTCTGAACATAGCCCAGTGCCGTTATCACAGTTAACAGTCTGTGATCAGTTTCTCTCATTTTCTCAGAAGTGTGTTTACAGTTGGGTGCCTTGGATCCTGAATTTTAACAAAAGTTCACACACACATTTGGGTCTCTGCCTTCCTCTTCTTTTCTTTTTTTTTTTTTTAAAGACGGTTTCACCATGTTGGTCAGGTTGGTCTTGAACTCCCGACCTCAGGTGATCCGCCCTCCTTGGCCTCCAAAGTGCTTGGATTACAGGTGTGAGCCACCACGCCCGGCCTGTCTGCCTTCCACTTCTAAAGCTAGGCCGCCCTCACTCTTCTCCCTGCATTTGACTTGATATATTTATTTTATTTTATTTTTGAGACAGAGTTTTGCTCTTGTTGCTCAGGGTAGAGTGCAATGGCAAAGTTTCAGTTCACTGCAAACTCTACTTGGCGAGTTCAAGCGATTCTTTTGCCTCA